ATGTATGCATTCGTTTGAATATTCCTGCACATTGCGCTGCTTCGACTAAACTATGAAATGAGGTTAAATTTTATCTCTCAGCGTAACGCTAATACTCTGTCAAGAAATTTTATGGTTTTAAAGTTGTAAGACAGTGATATGGCATTATCAATATTTCATGTTCATTCTGCCATTTAAGAGAGATAATTTAGTAGTTTTGGTCAGAGTACTTCATTCATGAATTACTTAATAAACTTACGTTTGATTTGTATATCTGCTAGGTCGCTGGATGTGGGAAACAGTTAATATGGAATGTGAAAATGTGAATAAACAAAGTAATTAAAATTAAAATTTTAAATCTGCATTTTTATATTATTGTTTATAATTTGATACTTAGATGTTTTTTACCTCGTTCATAATATAAAAATAAATTTACTGTTGCCACTAATAGAACTAAATATTTTCTATTAAATAAAATAATATTTAACTAAAAAAATTAGTTTTAGAAGTTCGAGAAATTGGTTTTTCATTCGTTCCTTGAATATAAAATGGTATAAATAGAAAATACAGCAATATTAAAACAGAAATATATATAAAAGGTAGAATCCATGTTACTTACAAAATTTTACTACCACCCCCATATTTTATTTTTAATGTTTAATGCGGAACAATTAATTAATTTTAATTATTAAAGCGGAACAATTAATTAATTTTAATTATTAATGCAGAACGCTCGAAAAACTACTACAACAAGAAATTGTGCAGTCAACATGTTATATTATGCTAGAAACACATTTCATTTGTTGAACTAATAGTATAAATATAAGGCTTTTTGCCATATATATACGAAATTTAGATAAAATTAACTTTTATATGAATTATTTTTTATGCTAGTGAGTGTATCACTTGTCTAGCATGTTAGATAAATATAAGGCTATAGACCCTGTTGTATGGTAATAGATTCTCATCTAAACTTGAAGTAAACGAATACCGCTATGAGACAACAAAAGCATTTCTGTGAGGTATTAAAAATGATAGTGTCAAATGTTAGTTTACGAGGACATTTAATATTAAGCAATATGCTGTGATTGAGTTTAATAGCTATTATAGATTTTGGAATGCATTTCGCTATATTCAACTGTGTGCCATGGCTAAGACGGCATACTACGAAATTCACACTATCTTCAACCTCCTTTCAAATTCAGAAACGAACAAAATTTAGTGTCTTCAATTACAATTACGATGAATAACTCAATTAAAAGAAGAAATCCAGTAGGGTAAGTTATGAGGTTTCTGGCCATTTAGTTCTGCCTACCAATCTAAAAAACTAACGTTTAATGCATTCCGTACAATTGGTTCAAAATGCACCGTTGTTGCTGATGAAAAGTGTTGCAATTTACTTTCGGGTTAGTAGAAATAATCACGCACCACCCTATTTAGATATATAGTAAAGGAAATAAAAGTATCCATATGCCATGTACAAAAAAATTTAATCAATTTAGCTTTAAAACTTATTTGTAACACATGGGAAAGCAGTAAAAAAAAATCTGCAGGTTTCAGAATTTAAATTACGTCCAGAGGGGCTTTTTTTTAACGTTTTGTGTGTTACCTTTATTTATTAAATATCATGTTCTTTGCATTTAACCATAAAATTCAGTTCAACAGCAATGTCGCAAAATAATTTTAAAATGAGCCTATCTTTAGAATTTTGGATACACAGCTCCGCGCGCTGGAGCTAAAAAGGTTTTTTTTTTTTTTTTTTTTTCGTAGAGTATTGCCATTGCTCGCTTTGGAATCCTGAAATCCTCGAGTTTGCTAATCAAAAATTCGTTAAAGTTTTACAAAATATGAAATCGATAATAAAACAAATTCCAAATTTGAAATTTGGAATTCCACATGCCCATATTCGTAGGAGGATTACGTCATTCAAAATTCAATGGCTCTATGCACCGTTGTTTTATCATAATGCGAGAAATATACATACATTTATGCAGATTTTTAATTTTTTAACTTTTTCAAATACAATGCAGGACTCTAACATTTGCTACTTTTCTGTGTAATATAACATGGAAAATCTAGAGAGACAAGCTATGCCGGAAAAGTAAGTATACAATGCAAGTCCATTTAACATTGAGTAAATGCGTATCTCGGTAATTTCGCGAGATATCATTAAGCTGGCAAAGGTTTTGTGACTAATTTTTGTCGCCAAATTTGATGACAAATCTCCAAAATTCTCGAAACTTCGCGATAATTTGGTGACATTTTGGTCCGGTTACTGTATTACCGTAATAGGTATTGTAATTGAACACATGTAATTCATCACTATATTAGCTTTAACCGTCATTCGACCCTCGTATTGCCTTCCAGTAATTTCGAGAAGCAGAAAGTACTAGAAATATCTCGGCGGTCAGGTGAAAACTGTAAAAGCATCTGTTTTCTGAGTAATTGTTAGCTCAGCGTGAATTTGGAGTACTCAGATTTCTTTTCAGCTGCACTTTGTATTGCGATTTGTTAAAAGCTCATAGTAGTTTGCAGTGTAACTATTGATTGTACTCTGCGATATTGTGAAGAGTTATACGACTGTTTTTACGGAAAGTTCTAGCTCTCTGAAATGTTTCTTTTGATAAAATAAATTTTATCAACCTATCATTAAACCTATGTGCCATCAATCTATAACGAATCCGTATGCAAGCAACAACATTTTTCTATAAATGAGAAAAATTCATATAACAATATTTGTTAAAACCTCAAAAATGCATAAAATTTTAAAGGGAAAATTATTTACATGCTTAAAATATTCCAATTTTTCCCCTACGCAAAGTTTTTTGTTACCATAGCAGCAACTGGTTACGTAATTCCCTCCTTAATTCTGCTTGCTTTACAAGATGAGTAAATCTTTATCTTTTTTTTTATCAAAGGAGCATCAAAACAACTAAAACGCCCGTGGATATACGAAATTGAAAATCTATATGCGATACAAGAAATATAATAGATACATTCCTATAACAGTGCTATATTGTGCACAGGTTTAAAATGATTATAGCTGTAGAAAACAAGTATCGTTCTGGGAGATCTTCGAAGCTAAGTGGCTGACATGAACTGTTTATTTCGAAGAAAATAAAATTATTTCTTTTTGAATTTCTTTGCCGATTACGTCAAAAACGTCGGAAAAATACCAGAAACGAAATTCTTTCTAAAATAATTAGAAATTTGTTAAAAAAAAAAGTCTTGATATTATGGTCGACTAACTGCGCGTAAACTATTCTATAAATAAAGCTAAAAATAAAAGAGGTAAGAAATTTCAGAAGAATTCGTTGACAATCCTAAAGAATTGCGGCATCAAATATTTTTTACAAGTTACAATGAAACAATGTTAGAAATTATGGTGTGGAGGTGTATGGCTGCAAGCGATGTTGGAAGCGTTAGCAGAATTTTTAGCATTTTAAATAATGATAGTTATTTAAAATGCTAAGTTTGCATTTTAAATAATAAATGCTAAGTTTGCATTTTAAATATAAAATGCATTTTAAATAATGAATGTTATTTAAAATGCGGAATATTTTAAAAACAAATTTAAAAGAAAGGGCACAAAATCCTAGGCTTTTCTGGAAATTTTTGCTTTCAGTAAGGTAATGTTCCCAAACATGAAACTTGAACTCGAATATTCGCTTACCTGTTAGGTACTTAGATCACTTACTTGTTCCTACCAATTTATCTGTTAGATAACAGGTTGGAACCCCATACTGTTTGCAAATCATACAAGTGTATGAACACTTCATTCCTTACCGTATGCTGTGGTAGATAGTAGCACAGTAAACATATTATTATTTTTTGGATAATCCGTACTTGATACACAGCGCTCATTTAGCTGTAGTAATAGACGTTCCACTATAGCAATAATTAATGTATAGTATATTACGAGTTGTTTAATATTTTTGTATTTGTTCTGCGACGCTAACACATCGTCTGCGAGACTATCTGCGCAGTCGCAAAGTATTACCATGATTACCAGTTTTTTCTTTACCGTTGTTATTGTTAAAAATAAATAGAAAAATGGTTGTTCTAAAGATTTAAAGTTGTGTTTAATTGTTTATTCGGACTACATTTTTTATATACGAGTCAAATAGGAGAAATATTGTGATAGAGGTAAAAGCTCCCAATAAAGATCAGCTGATTGCGTTGCACAGGGTGTTTTAAAAATGATTGTTTGACTTACCTTTTAAACGGCTTGTTGCAGACTTAACAAGAGAGTTGAACACTAATTAATGGCTTAAGGAATGAATCTAATATGGATAGCTTTTGGAGTAAATCAATTTTAACCACACGGAAACCTTTAGTGCATCAAAACAGATTTCTTTAGATGTCAATGAATTTTTGCTAATATAACTAATAAAAAATCAATAATAGATCAAAATAAGAGACGTCACTAGTTTTGAGACACAGTTTATGCAAATGTTACGGAATTCTACATAGTACAAGTTTCAAACTCATATTTGCAAAAGTGCTAAAATTTCAAAATTTTTGCCAAACAAATTTCAGTTTTTTAACGGCTCCTGAAATGTGGTGCTGCTTAATTTCGTCAAGTGAAAGATGATTTTTAACAATTTTTTTTTGTCTCTGATGTGTATCCGCGATTTAAATTCTTTTTTTACAAATTTAGAGTAATTCATAGGAACATTTTATTTGTGTAAATAAAAACAAACAAAAAAAAAAACAAAAAATAAAAAAAGAAAAAAAAAAAAAAAAAAAAAAAAAAAAAAAAAATAATAAGTGCGTAAATTTAAATTTCAAATATTTTTATTAAAAAGTGTTGCTATGGAATCAAAGTTACCTTATTTCAAAATTTTATACTATTTTGTTGGTTTCTTAAATTTAAACACGGATCTTTGAAGATCTATTTATCTATGCAATATATTTTGTGATTTATACTAATGTCTCTAAATTTATATTTTCAATACTTTTAATATAAATTTCATGCAGTTTCTGAAAGAGGAAATAAATACTGAAGATATTATGTTTACCCTGCTATCTTCTGATAACCTCTTCGTCAGATGGAGAGCATTTCTTCTGGATCTTTGAGGATGATCAATTTTTCTCATCAAGTAAGTGTTCGGGAATCCTTTTAACTGTAAGATGAAAGTATTTATCACACATAACAATAGAAAACATATAACTTTAATTGATACGTTACACAGTATTTAACTTTAATTAACATCGCATTTTAAAAACTAGATATTAAATGTCAAATACTAAAAGAAATGCTTTTAAGTAGTCTGTCTTAAAGGTTATAATAACAATGCTTATATCAGTTTAAATAAACTAAAAACTCAGTGGCGTATCAGCCCTAATGGGCCAAGGCCTGCAGTGCCCGAAATCTGCTTTCTTGACCGTGGGCCCCGGGGTGCGTAAGCATATGCCCTGAACAAGTGGTCAGCTTGTCGCAGGACCCCCAGTGGTTAGTCCCCAAGCGAACTTGGTACTCATTTTATCGACCCAAGTGATGTAAATCAAGGGATGAAAGGCTGAGTCGACCTTGTCCAGCCCGGGAATCGAACCCTGGATCTCTGATGCTGCTGCGCGGTGCGCCATGGGGCCTCATATTAGTTTAAATTGCAGCTGTAAATAACTTTTCAAAATTATTTTTCTTCGATTGTAATTTAAATTCTTATTTGTTAAAAGTTTCAACTTATATTTCTTTAAAAAATTAAGTAATATTTATAGTATTAAATTTTTTCATTTTCAAATTGTTAGATAAGAGAATTATCGAAACAGATTTCGAAGTAGAGATAAGTCGATATATTTAATGAAGGTGTTTTAGTTCAAATTTTTACTATTTTGCTGTTTTAAACAGCAAAAATCAGCTGATTCCTCCGTTAATAAAAAATACTACTGCTGCTTTCCCATGTGATAGTAAAAACGCACTTCTCTTTTTATAAAAATCAGCTTAAAAATTTTCTAGTCCTTTTAGTATATAAAATGATAAATATAATCATACTATTACAAATTTCTGTGACTAATGATTTACTAATACAATTGACAAAATATCTTAGTATCATTGTAGAGTCATTAGGATATTATGATAGCAGGTATTAGGAAAAATAAGCAATGCACTCGCCGGGACTCGAACCTGAATCTCACGGATACACGACTAGTGTGCTAACGTTACACCACGAGAGCATGCAGGAAAGGAAGGGAGAAAACACCTTGTATACCCCACCTCAGGTAGCCGACCTCGTTCAAAAGGCCGATTTGGATTGAAAAACTCTTTTTTTTTTTAAATTTAACACTTATTAAGGCCATATTCTTAGCTATCGAAAACAGCTTTTCTTTTCTTGATATGTTGATTAGAAGTGGAGATATATCGTTTTTTCTAAGATACAACAAACCGGAAGTAGCTGTCTGCCACACCGGAAGTTAAATACAAATTAAAGGCGCAGCTTCCACTTTTTTCTGTGTTATTTATAAATTAAATAAATTTAAGCCTTTCGATATGTTTGGAGAATTTGGCAAAGTAATCTCTCTTTTACGTTGGCAACAACATTTCAAACTTATTGTTTTATTTACATTGAGCTTTCAGTATTTCGTTTTTGTGTAAAATTTCCTGCGCTAATTTATCCAGCTAAAGATTCATTTTTCTGCACTTTTTTTTATTCTGTTTAATAATCGAAAGTTCGAGAATGCCAGAATTTATACGTAGTCATTCAAAAAAGCGAAAATTTTACGACAACCAATACGCTAAATATGTGACTGCTGATTCTGGTAATCACAATGAAACTGAAACATCTGTCTGTAAAATTATCTGGAACATTTATTGCAAATGAAAAAAGTGATTTTGATTAATTAAATCGCAATCATAATGTTGTTGTTTCTATTCTTTTAAATATTATACTCTCACTTTGGAGGAGCATTTTTAGTGAATATTTGTGTATATAATGTCATGTAACAATCTGAAAACTTTAAACGTGATTTTTGATTACTTTTTTTTTTCATGATTTATGTTCACGGCAACCATGATAACTCTAAACGTTCATTATAGAATCACTTGAAATTTTGCACACACGTTTTAGACATTATTATGCATAACGTAGACTATAAGTTAAAAATAATCGCATAAAATTTAAGTTACATCATTTTTAAATCAATAGCGTGTGTATTTTTAAAAACATTTTAGTGTTTACTGACATATTTTGCTAGTGATTCAATATTTTCAAATTATTCTAGTTCAATGGAAGTTTCTAGGTAGTATGTATAAAATAAAGTCGAAAATAGATTTTTATCAATAATATTTTCTTGTCAGGGATGTTTGATGTTTTTATTAATTTTGATATAAAATTTTCAGTTTTACGTACGTTTCTCAAAATAATGATTTTTTATCGCTTTTGCAGTGATTACATTTAAGTTTGAGTACAATTCATTAAAAAATCACATAAATTCAAAAATATAACAAACATTTCGAAAAACGCCCTTCGAGCGAGGTCGGTTACCTTAAAGGGCGACCGGGGATTAAGGGACGCAATTGCTAAATCCTGGTGGAGAAGAATCATTATCTACCACTTTTTTTAGTTCGGACGGCACACAGATTCAATAAGTTATTTTGATGCTGGAGAGCTAGGGGTGGAAAATTAAACTTGTGAAAATGAAAATGAAGTTTCATGAATTCTCTAGCCAAATGCATATACTATCTAAAACTTATGCTAATATTCTTTTTCTCTCAGATCCACTGGAAGGACACGATATCCAACGCAAAATATGTTAGTTTAAATTATAATTTAATATTTTCGATTAGATCGTTAAAGACCTTATTTTAAAATATTTAAATTCTGGCGGGAAATAATGTAAAGACCTTATTTTATTCTAACCAATTATTTTTTAATTTCAGAAATTTTACTTTCCTTTCTGATTTCAGTTTCCTGCCAGAATGTAAATTTTAATGATGTAGTTGTGATTTTACATCTTATTTCTCTGTTAAGTTACTTAGCCACAAGTGGTTGTAGATTCTGAGCACCGAGCGAATGCATTTTTTGTTAAGTTGAAACTCCGATAAAATCTATGTGAAAATGAAAGACACATTTATGAGAAATTAACAAGTATGAATTTATTTTTTTTCCTAACCAAATTCCTTAGGATGATACTCAAAAAAATAACTGAGATGGTTAGATCAAATTGTTTACAAAGTAAAGCATTTTAAATAATCATTGCTAAACAGCTTTAAAATAACGATTTCAGAAGGCTTTATGAATTTATATCAATTAGATGTATCATCAAAAATGAAAAAATTGCTTGAACTATTAAGAAATACGTTTATCGCTCAGTGTGTTGTTAAGAATTACACATTTATTAAATATAAAAGATAATTTAAAGATCTCTAGTTTTGCCAAATGGCAATACTCTATAATGCAGTTATGCAAAATTATTAAATAAACCAAACCATTAAATAAATGTATTATGCATGAGCCTTCTGATCAAAAGTGCGAATATAGTTAATCAACAACATCAACTGTATAAAGTCGATTTTTATTAATCAGATCATCTTATATAATTCTGAATTTTTACCAGTCGAAACAGATCATGTACTGATGCTTTGTTAAAAACAAGTAAGCCGAAAACAGTAGCTTATCTTTTCATTCTCCTGACGTCACAACAGCTGACAGAGCTTGAAAATTCGGAAAACATGTCTGTCTTTTTCTTCTAAAAGTCCATGTCTGGACAAGCCTTAAAATAACCCACCAGAAACGAAGACAGATTACTTTGACACGTTTGCCTGGATCATGATCTTAATCCGGGGCATTAGTAAAGTCGTTATGGCAAGATAAATAATCCCTAAGACTGAACGCTAGTGATTATATCACTGTATCTTCGATAGACTGAGGGATTCTTCGGAAAGCATCTTTACCCAGCCAATAAAAATGTATTGCCATATATTTATCTCTACAAATAATAACGATTTGATAACATTTGTAATGAGTATTTCAAATGAAACAACACTTCAAAAATATTTAATATGAATTTAGTGAAGACAAAAAGAATGTGCAAATGGTCCGTATACTATCAAGAATCCAGTAAAATGGCATATGTCCTTACTTATACATAAATAATACCCAATATTTTTTATTTAAAAATAAATCAAGAAATTATTTGCAAACATTAAAAAGGATTGCATTTTAAATGGAAATGTTCGAATAGAAAAAACAAAATGTACTTCCTGTAATCAAATAGAGAAGAAATGTTAGATATACAACCATAAAATGAATATAAAAGTATTAAACTGTATGTATAGTTTCTTATTTAATCATGAGAACAGAAATTAAGCACACAAATAAGAGATCTATGACATAGTTTGTATTAAAAATGAAGCTTTTTTTGCAAAGTATTTGCACAGATGTTCTCTCCATAAAAATGGAGAGAGCATCCTTCTGTCCACCGAGAAATTTCCAGTACCTTCGATTTCTCGAAATTGCTTGAAGGCATACACAGTTACAGTTACGTGTGATTGGGTACAGTTACAGTTACACAGGAATCAGTCCAACTTACACAGATATCGGATCAAAATATCGCCAAATAGTCGCCAAGCTTGGTGACTTTTGGCTAATTCTCGCCATATTTGGTGACAAAAATAGTTGCCAAGACCGTCAGCAGCTTGACGCTATTTACGTCAATATCCCTCTAAACATAGCTTTCAGACTATGTTTCGTATTCTGACGCCTTTCATGTTACATTATACAAGAATTGCAACTTACCTACAATTTCTCTAAAATTATTCACATGTATACAAAATTCGTAACAATTAATATTTATAATATATGAATCTAAACTGTATGATTTCAAAATTAATCAGCATCATATGATCTTACATAACACTGCAATATAGATACCTTCTAGCCGATCCCTGAATAAAAAGTTTTTTAAATTCAAAACCTTGTTTCGTTTGGTTTCTTCGTGAAACAAAATTAAGTATGCTGTGGACTCTACATTTAATATCTAAATGCAGTTAAAAATTTCTGAAATTTCATTTGGAGTTTAAAAAAGGAGAAAAGAAAAGTAAAATGTATTATTATTCAAATTATGAATTCATAGTAATTCAACATTTTTAAAACTGTTTTGAATTTATAAATTTTGGGAATATATT